CCTCTCTTAGGGATTATGGAAACTTTCGTCGTGGCCCTCGACATCTCCAAGCATTTGAGGGTATGGCACAAGTCTTTGCTATCTAAACTTCCCTCTTTGGTTTCTCTCTCACTTTGTTCTCTCATCTCTAGCTTCCTTGGAATCGATCCATGGCAGTTGTTGTCGAGGGATCGATTTCTCGTCTTTCTCCACCAATAGTGGCGTCCTGTGATTAATTTTTCCTGACCGTCGCTTAATTCTATCCAAATTGTTTCTGTATTCCTCTCAGTTTTTATTTCCTTATTTATTTCACACTTCAGATTATCCCTAACATAGATTGCTACTCAGCCTCCTTTCCTGGTCTGCCTATCGGTATGGAACAGTTTGTAACCCGCAATTTGGTATTCGACTGGTAATTCACGTGTGTCTAGGTTGATCCATGTTTCAGTGAATGCAATTATATCGATTTCTTCGGTACATACCAAGGCCTTAATATCATCCATTTTGTTTCTCATACTTCTACTGTTCGTGTAGTATACATTTAAGTTAGTCGTGTTCTGAGTCCTTCCCTTACCGCGTTTAGTTTTAAACTCCCTGTCTAATTTAGTTTTGTCATCATTCCTAACACTATTTCCCTGTAATCTTTCGCCTTGTTTACCCACTCCCACTGCAGTCTCCTCCACCCCCGTGCCCATATGTTCTCATAGCAGTTTAAAGACTTCGATATCTTTTGAACTGCCCCCTCGAGAGCCCCAGCCAGGGTTGCTACTCCATCCCTAGACAGGTGCACCCCATCCCTAGCATAAAGGTCCCTTCTGCCATAGAAGTTGTCCCAATTGTCAATGAATGGGACTGATATTGACTTGCAATATCTGTCAAGACGGTCGTTAACACCAACTGCCCTTGACAACCATTCACTGCCAACTCCCCTTCTAGGCAGGACACCGCATATGATAGGGATCCCTCCCTTAGTCCTAATACGATCTATGGCTGCCTTGAACTTATCAAGAAGTTCCTCTCTCCTACACCGGCCAATGTCATTGCCTCCTGCACTGAGGCAGATAATGGGTTTGTTCTCATTACCAGACAAGATATTGTCCATCCTGTCAACTATATCCCCCACCCCAGCTCCCTGGCAAACACACCCTCATCCTATTTTTGTTTTTACCACAAAAGGCCCTGTCCATGTACCTTACCTGTGAGTCACCAACAATTAAAGTTTTTATACCTTCCTTGTCATCCCCGCCCCTGACTGTCCTAACGTCCAATTCGTCTATCAAGGGACTGAACGGGTTGGTACACTTAGCTGTTGTTGTCGGATCCATCGTGTGCTTCTTCACCACCAGCTTTGTCTTCACACTACTCACAATTTTCCACTCTCTTGATTTTTCGTCAGACACTGGCTTTACTCGTCCAGCCTCTCCTTTTAACTTCGCCAGCTCTTTCCTTAATTTCAAGTTCTCCAACGTGGCCCTCTCAATTTCTAACTTGGCCCTCGCCAATTCTTCAGTGGACCACTCCAGTTTGGTCAACAAACTCTCATACCCAAGACCGCACATAGCACTGGCCATATCTGATAATTATCCCTCCGGAGCTAACCCTGCCGTGACCTTTCCCCTAGTGAGGTCAGAACACAACTAGTATACCATAACACAGTGTTGGTGTACACAGTAATGGTATACACAGTGTTGGTGTACACAGTAATGGCATACACGGTGTTGGTGTACACAATAATGGTATACACAGTGTTGGTGTACACAGTAATGGCATACACGGTGTTGGTAAACACGGTGTTGGTGTACACAGTAATGGTATACACAGTGTTGGTCATACACCAGGCTCTAGCTAACATAAACACTATTATACTGTAGATGGAAGAGTTTAGTGCCCAAGTGGACATCCAGAATTCAAACAAAACAGGAAATTATTAGAAGTTACTTATATATTAACACTGTAATGAGTTATTGTCTCTCCGCATAAAGGAACACGTATGAGTTTATATGTAAATAAGAATTTTCTCCACCGCTTACTAAATGTTTATTCTAACTACTGTATAACGTAATTTTTATGTTATTTTATGTTAAATATTTATTATATATAAGTGGAAGATTAATGTTAATTAATGTTGTTATAAAATATTTTAGGTTGTTGACCATTTTGAAGGGTGACTAATGTAGATAGATAAACATTAGTCTGTGATGTTTACGGTGTTTATATACTCACTGTAGCTATATAAACAATGTATATAGATAGAGAAGGTCTATAACAATAAATATAAACAATATAGGAATACAATGTACATATACACAGTTGCTATTTATCATTATACATGCAGTGTAAGTATACATACAAAGTACAACTGTATATACACTGAGTATTTGTATACCTACAGCTGTACATATTATGTAGATAATACAACCAGTGTATTTAGTATGTAATTATACAATGTACAGTCAGGGGCCTTGCCAGGGGCCCGGAGACCATTCCAGAAAACTCAGGGGCCCTCTTAGCAGCCCAGGGCCCTCTTAGAAGCTCAGGTACCCAGAGGCCCTTTCAGGGGCCCTCTCAGGGGACCTAAAATGGATGCAGGTGTCCAGAGGCACTCTCAGGGGCCCTCCCAAGTGGCCAGAGGCTCAGGGGCCCACCCAAATTCCCGTCTAGTCCCAGAGGACCTTTTAAAGGCACATGGGCGACACTTAACGACCGTGTAATTGTACCACCTGGGATTTCATGGCCTGTGCTATTTTCTCTCGACTTGATTTGTGCGGCAACGACCAAAAACGTGCAGTGCTAATGTAAATGTGCGATACTTAAGGGAGAGTTAGGGCGCTTGGCATCTGTTGAGGGAGTCACCCTGACGCGCCCCGTGTTGAGTCGACCACACCACTATCACCACCTCTCTCTTACACCAACACCTCGCTCCTCCACCACCACCTCACTCCTACACCATCACCACCACCACCTCTCTCTTACACCACCACCTCGCTCCTACACCAGGTACCTATAGGGTCCCTGGGGATCCGCTGGGCATCTGCGGGCCCTTGAGACACTGGGAGGGGCCCGAGGCCCATGGGAGTATTCTTGGGCCCCTGGATCCTTCTAAAGGCCGCTGGGAGGGCCTCTGGGTGGGCCCCTTGCCCCTTGGGAGGGCACCTGAGCCATTGGGCCCCTTGGATGGCCCCTGGCCCATTGAGAGGGCCCCTGGGCTCCCGAGACGACCCCTGAGAGTACCCCTGAGAGACCCTGGGCTCCTAAGACGACCCCTGTGAGTACCCCTAAGAGGGCCTCTATGACCCTGAAATGACCTCTGTGGCCCAGAGTGAGTTCCAAGTAGGACCCCTTGGCCCTGGGAGTGCCCCAGGGCCCTTGGGAGGGTCTCTGGTCCTTTGAAAGAGCCACTGGCCCCTGCAAGGGCCCCTTGGTTCCTGGGAGGGACCTTGGGAGAGCCTCTGGGCCCCTGGGAGGACCCCTGAGCCCCTAGGAGGGCACCTGAAACCCTGGGAGAGTTTCTGGGTCCCTAAGAGGGCCCCTTGGAGTGCCACTGGGCACCTAGACCCCTCTGAGGGCCCCTGCCAAGGGCTCTGGGCCACTGAGGGCCCTTAGAAGGTCCCCTGGGAGAGCCTCTGGGTGGGTCCCTAAGCTTCTAGCCCCTTGTGAGGGACCCTGAGCCCCTTGCCTTCTGAAAGGACCCCTGGGACTTTGGAAGAAACACTGGGCCCCTCGGCCTTTTTCAGCATCCCTGGTCCCCTTGGAGGGCCATCGGACCCCTGAGAGGTCCCCTAGGCCCCAGGGAGAGTCCCTGAGCCTTGTAGTGGTCCCTTGGAGGCCCCCTGAGCCCCTTGGAAAATGGTCACAGGCCCAGTGAAAAAAAAAATTACTGTATATAAACCGTTCATTTACTCAAGATAACATAATAAGAAACATTGTATAATTACTAAGAGTGAGTGAAATAATATTCACACAAACAACAATTGTCAACTCTCTTTGTTTCCCACCTCCTCGGACACCAAGCAACTGACGGGTCAAGCGGCGCCCAAGGGCCTAAAATGTTCTTTGCTCTGGTTTAGGAATGTTTCTTAGGGAAACTTCTGGGAGGCTTCTTAACCCAGAACCCCCAAATTTTTTGTCCGGATCTTCAAGGGTTTACAGTAGTACAGTACTCAGGATTATAAAGTGTAATAAGCAGGTGATGAAAAAGTTTGAGTTTAAAACTTCAGTGATTATTACTTATTTGATATCCAGAATTCTTCTCTTATCATGATTATCATTTTTCAAGTAAGAAAATCTAACTTGGTTTTGCATAATGAAATAATAAAATTATTTAAATGGGAAAAACTGTTGAATAAAAAATAAAAAAGTAAGAATTTATTCTTATTTTATCTCAAGACATATTCATACCAAGGAAGTAGTGTGCCAGACTGCCTCACTATTCAAACTACAGTACAGTATTTATTGACTCTTCTAGAAAACATTTACAGGATATTAAGTTACTTAATCCACGTGAAAATTCCCCGAAGTAAATTTGACACAGACTGGTTAACTTACCTAATTGAAAAAATTCTTAACTTAATTAGTTAATGTTAAAAAAAAATCAGATTAACTTAACTGGAAAAAAGAAAGAAAATTACCTTAACTAGTTAAATTTTAAACTTAATCGCCCTATGCCTGGTACACATACTTTACATAGGTCAATTTTTTACCGTTGTATTTTTGTAGGAGGAAAAGTGCCTCGATAAGTCGGAAATTGGGATAACTCGGCAAGGCCATAGCCCCATATGTGCCGAGTTATCGAGGGTTTACTGTACGACCAAGAAGAACTCTCGGTGTTGACAGTAAGTTACAAGATTGACTGAAGACACTGTGGATACCCTACAAGAATAAACATAATTCAACATGATACTGTACGTAACACAAGAGTAATCCACAACTCAGGTTCTATTGTTCACAAGAGAATATCTACAAATATCCTCAACTTGTTCCTGAAAAACACACATAAGGAGGAAATATAATGAAAGTTAATATGGGCAACAATGTGGAAATTTTAATATGTATAAAATATTTACAGTCACAGGAAACAGAAATCAAGTGTCAGTTGATAATAGTTGTGGAAAAAAACACTAGCCGCTGTGGACCATTCGGTGATTGATGACCACTAATGAAAGACAACTCAAGACTAACGAATGGCTGCCAGTCAGGTGTGCTCTGACAATGAATTGCTAGGCAGATAAATACTCAAACTCGAGAAAATAACGCCATCTAGCCGGGTGACAATAAAACTATTTTCCGATAACAATAATACACTTTTCAAACACATGTAGAGATGGTGTGAGAGATGAATAGGACAGTGCTTGTCAGAACTATCAGCCTAAGACCACTTGCTACTATCCTGCAGAGAAAATTTAATAAAAGTAACTATATTTTCACAACTGTAAAAAGTTAACCTTGAAACCTTAACTAACAATCATAGCTATTTTACATTTTCAACATGCAAATATTTTTCCTTATACAATATATATCATGTGTGCACGAGCAACTTGGTGTTGACACAGTTCAGCATCTTAGTAAGGAACACAAAGACCAAACACTACCTAACCTACCTCAGTAAAGTTTCTCCCTTTTTTTTTAAATCATACAATAATCAAATTAAAATCCTGCCTTGTTTTTAATTGTTCCTTTGGTAGGTTTATGTGGTTCATATTAGTGTATTATTGCCATATTTTGTTACTTATATTTCACCTGTTGTCCAGCTCAAGGCAGAAAGTAACAAATAAAACTATCATGGAAACAGCAAATTATGATGAGGTTCCTTTATGCACTACTCACTCTCTCTCATCAAATTCACATGTCATTCCTACCCAGTGGTGTGCCCAGCCTCCATTACACATCTCACCAGTTGCATTCACAATTGTTTGGCCCCCATCAGTGGTCTGAACAGCCCCACTTGCACATCTGAACAGCCTTAGTCACTGGTCTATCTATGTAACTCCACTGACCTGCACACCCTCACTCACTCATAACTCCTCAAGGGTACATACAGTCCCGTCTAACATTCACAACTTACACTACCTTACAATGTGATTTCCCATTTCTCTTTTACATCTGGCTGTTCTAATGCTACACTTCTATTTTGGTTACCTTACTTTGTAAAGCAAATGTTAATTTTTTCCCCTTTTATATATTTCAACCAGATGTCCTTCCCTTATGTAATACCAGGAATGATGATCAAATCCTTTGGTGTGTTTTGGTAATTTGTGTAAGATCAAGAGCACACTCACTTATGTGTACCAAGGCCAGTCTTCTGAGAAGCTTCCCACACTCTCTTCCAACATAACACTAAAAACAAATGAATATAATATGGCAAGCATATATTTTTGATTCATTACCTAGAGAAAAAAAACTGCTACACAATATTTTCAATAATATACACTGTCTACTCTAAGACTGGTATTACACTCTATCGGGGATGTAGTATCATTAAAGGGTTATAAACAGAGACAAAATGAAGAGATGAATGAGTAAAGGAAGGTGACTCACATGGCAAATACAGTACTGTACTGCAGACTGATCCTCAACCACCCACAGGTTCACACCGACCCAACATTGCTTCACACCGACCCAACATTGCTTCACACCGACCCAACACTGCTTCACACCGACCCAATACTGCTTTACACCGACCCAACACTGCTTCACACCAACCCATCACTGTGTTTGCTGCAGTTTGTTCCTGACGTAAATCCAAATAAAAATAAAATTCTACCACACCATAGCCGGGACCACGGGGTCTCGCATGTAAAAAGAGAAAGGGGGGGGGGTGGTGCAAATCCTTATTCATCCTACTGACTAGAACAGAGGATAACCTAAACTATGATAAAAATACAGGTGATAAAAAAAACCAAACTAAATATACACACATTATTCTTTGGGGGAAAAACACAATTTACAAAGTCCATTCTCTTTCAATGAATACACAACATCCACTCAGTTGGTCTTCTGTAAACTCATAAATATCATACAGTCTTTGTGACAACCTCGATCACTGAAAGCTTTTGGCAACTTTGGCTAAAACATCTCTTCCTAAGTGGTTGTTAAGAAGAGAAAAATTTTGAGGAAAGTATCAAGATTAATTGTTAATGTAACATAATTATGTACATCAGTTCACATAATTCTTCCATAGAATCTTTAAACTAAGGGGATACAATTCCTTCCAGAATTCTTTTTTGTTTTTGCAGTTAATAACTAAAGCAACCTATTCATTTATTTAGCACATGAAAATTAGTGTCTTTTGCAACACTTACATAAACATCACCCAAAAATCGTGCAATATTTTTTGTAGAGAGGCAGCCGACAGAGTGTCATCACAGAAAAACTTGAGCCGACAATTGTTCACATTAAATCACATAAGGTGCCCCCTCAACTACCACAAACCTCTGATATTCATCATACAGTGTTTACTGAAATATGATTCAGCTATTAACTTATCTAAAACAAAAAATATACACATGAAAAAATATTTAAATATTAAAAAAATATTGGTTGACAATTAACAAGGTTCACCCTGCACTTTAACACCAGACCAGAAGTATTACCACAGTTAATGATACAATAAATTCATCATATGAAGATATTTTCTTTTCTTCAAACACAGTACAGTACATCTCAGAGGTAATGTAATGTCCATGTACAGTAATGCCTCGCCTGGACCTCAAACACAGTACAGTACATCTCAGTGGTAATGTAATGTCCATGTACAGTAATGCCTCGCCTGGACCTTCATTTACCATTGGTTATTTTGTGTCAAGTTTATTAAAATCACTTTAATGCTCATTAATGCCTTACTGTATATGACAACTTACATTTCCTACAATAATGCCCAATCACATACAGTACTGTACAGTATAGTATACAGTACATATTTAATGTACTTATAAGTCTTATACTCTGCATTTATTCAGAGTAGATTAACATTTCTTTATACTAAATATATTATTGCAGCAAAATCAATATGATTATTGTAATATATTCCTCCAGCAAATGAGTGGAAGTGTTTGTTGCTGTTGGTCCTGGCAGCCCACCACAGGTAATGGGCTGGCAAGAGTGAAACAAATTCCTCTTTTATGACTGACAGCACTAAAATTATCATTGTGACAGTGCAGTGCGGTACAGTACAGTACCTTGTGATGAACCTAACTTGGCTGATACCAGTGCACACATCCATGTCCTCCTCCACCAACCCCTCCATGTAATGTTTGCCAAAAGTCTACCACCAAATCTATGCTTCCTAATGTAGTCAGTGCAGTGCTGTATACTTTTATAGACTCCAGTGCTTCTAAGTAACAAATTCTTAACTAAAATTATATCAAATAAAAAACTAGAGCCATCTCACTGCTGAACCTGTAGATTAAATCTAAAATAAAGCAGCAATTCATTTCAGTTCACATCTAACACTAAAATAAAGTGTTCTCTGAAGGTAACAAGTGATGCTGTTGTTGTCAAAAGAACCCGTTCTCGGTCAGCCGTTCCGTAAAAAAGTGTCACGACCGAGCAAGTGTTGTGTTATGGTCGGGCGAACATCTTCACGTTCATCGATAATTATTTTCTATTTAGCTTTGGTCATCCCTATGAAGACAGGATGCATCTGACTGGGTCCCCTGAGTTATATACACAATACAATGCACAGTCTTATTGACGGAAGAAAAATTATTCAAATGGTCTGTTATGACGATCGGCAGAGACGTTCTACATGATAAAGTCTGACTTTGCTCCGGTGAAAATTTCCCACAAAAAATTCAATAAATTTCTAACTTGTAAACACTAACAAGAGGTGTGCTACGCTCATATAACTGCTACATTTCCACATTCACACATTACCACAACTCAAACAATGACTAAAGTTCAACTAGGTCCTACATACTTTATGATTTCTTTACAGCATGATGGTAAATTGATCTGGATTTTGAGACAAATTATATTAAATCTCATATGCACAAACTCAGCCTATTATCTACAGTGCTTGTAATGGATTAAAATAACTTACCAGTAGAATTAATCATATAATTCATACCAATATATAAAAAACAAGAGTGTTACCATAATTTAAATTTTAAAGAACAGAATATAAACACAACCCATATGAGGAAACTTAGTAAATAAAAGTATAATTATCAGGGACCTTCAATATCCCACTAATCTTAAGCTATCCCTACCATGGGTTTCTGTGTGAAAGAATAGAGAAAAAAAAAAAAAATAGTTTAACCCGCTAAGATATCTTCCTCACACTGATGGAGCTCCTCTTCCAAACATTACCATAAAACAGGTACCTTAATCTTTCTTATTTGTGTCTGTGCTGCCATACTGGGATCCCTTGTCGATTTTGGTCAGTCCTATCATCTTGTACAATCCCAAATAGGCTGCAGGACAGAAGGAGAACAAATTAATACATCAGGTACCAGGTACGTCTTAATGTGATGTAGCTGGTGAATAAAAACTCACGTTATCAAGTAGAAATCAACTCTTCTACAAAGGAATAAACAGAGAGAGAGAGAGATATCCCCTTTTAGCTTCAATTTGCAGGAAGGTGAACAGACAGGATGAGAGCAGAAAAAAAAATTTAAAACAAGAGATATATACAGTACAGACACTCCTGGTACATATGTAAGGTGCATGCTCAACTATTGCCTACATGAGGGTCACTTCTTGCTTACGGAGAGCCTCTGGGAACGGAACCCACCCATAACCCCGGATGTAATTAGTATTTAGGAGTTTACAGTAACTGGCACAAACAACAGTGACTATTTACAGTACAGTTCACACTTACCAAAGATCACAATGCCAACAGCAAAGGAAATGGATATAAGAGAGCCACTTGTTATGAGGTTGTAATAAAAGCGGAGAATTTGGGACAGGACAAAAGAAGCCCATCCTATCATGTTGAGGAGAGAGTAAGGTCTCCTGGGCATGGCACGACTGGAGTACTTGGGCAGGTCGTTCTCCTCGGTGAAACTCCCCGTGTTGATATAACTGTCTAGTAACTGGTCCTGCAAATAAAGGTACACACACTTGTGAAATAATTCCTTCTGATGTACGGTTTGTTTTTGCATACTGTTCAAAACTTATCAATGGCTTACCAAGTGATATCTAGTCTCATGAAGAACAGAAAAGAATGACAGTCTCCACTACTAGTAAGACCTTTGATAGAATAATACTCTAAGCTATGACTGTCTACTACTGTACATACAGACTATCTAACAAACTCAAATGTTTCTGCTACACACAAAGTAACAAATAATAAAATTGATTATAACACTTGTTGACAATGGTTCGCTAACATGGATCAAATGCGCTGCACTTTATTAGTTATGGGGTGCCGAGTTAAAATATGGCAATAAAAATGTCAGTCACGTAACATTTTTATATGTAGTGTAGGAATATAAGATACATACTTGTGTTGGTTGGGATATATCAACAGCAAGGTTAGCAATACTGTACTGAACAGGAGAATGGAGAGAATACAACGCTGAGGCCGTGTTAATTCACCAAATTGAGCATCCAAATGTACCTTCGGCAATAAGGCCCGTTCCTCACGCAGAAGGCCTCCCTACACCTACACCACCGGCTGATTTGGAAGAACTCTCAACTTGGGATGAGGAAATTGAGGAATAAATCCCAGAATCATCCCATGATCCTCCTTTCATTGACCAGACTTCCAATGAACCACATCTTATAGAACAAAGTTTCCTCCCTCCCTCCTTCCTTTCTTTCTTACTCCTTAATATGAATTTTAAAAGAAAGAAAACATTATATAATTTGCATTATGAACATCCTCATAAATTACAGACTCATGAATTATAAGGATATAATATGAATTATAGTGTACAGTATTAAGATACTGTACAAAACTATATTTGGGTGCGCAGACTGGGGGAGGTGACGGGTGGTAGAGGGGGGACAAGTGGACAACTTGCCTCCTGGCCCGTGCTGTCACCCAAATTCAGTGCTGTACTGTATTAAGGTTCATTTTGGTTCTGTTGACATCTTAACACAATTAAAACGCTGTGTTGCATTGGTTGATTGTGTCATATGTACAGCAATTGTACAGTACTGCACAACAAACTGTACAAAAAACAGGAACGAGCAACAGATGAACATTGTAGGGTATCTTTGATGGCCCACAGATAAGAAAGTTACTTCGTGATGACGACTTTGAAAACAAACTGAATCAAAATGAGCTAGCTGCATGGAAATCCTTTACATCTGTAGTCAAGGAGTTTCTTGGAACAAGAAGGAAGAAATCTATTGCCAACTTGTAGAGGAACTCTTAAAAAAATTACAAAAACTCAGGGTGTAGGATGTCCCTGAAAGTCCACCTCCTACACTCACACTTGGACTTTTTTCCTGAGAATCTGGGGCCGGTTAGTGATGAACAGGGAGAGCAATTTCATGAGGACATTAGACGTATGGAGGAGAGGTACCGGGGTAGAGGGGATCCTGCCACGATGGGGGACTACTGCTGGTGTTTATAATCGGAGGACAACACAACACATAAAAGGACGAAATAAAATAACAAATGCCATACAGTGGCTAATGAAATACTTTGTGTCTTCTTATGATTGTTTTCATTCTATATTGAATTTTAGTGATGATGTGGAAAAAAGTAACAGGAATAACAAGAACAATTTTATTTTTCAGTTTTTGTAAGATTTATTTTTAGTGTAACAAATAAACTGAATGTGCCAGAGAAATATTATTGCCAGATTTGAAATCAGCAGCTAAATATTACCCAAAGGAGGCTGCTCTGAACCATGTTACGGGATTGTTTTATAATGTGTTGCCGAGTGTAATGGTCAAATAAGTGTAGAATCCATCCTACTTTACAGGAATTAATGTGACACATATTTCAGAATGTAGTCGTTTCAATATGAGTTAGATACTGGGGGTGGGGGGGTAATACCTTAGACCTGTAGAGTTCATGAAGATATTTAGAGGCACCTTCATCATCGTCAGGAACCTCATCCAAGGGAAGGCGACGTATGTATATCTCACTCATCACCTTCCTGCCCCGCAGCATGTTTTGCAAGGACGGCTCCTCTCCTTCTTTACTGTGTACCAACAAAACATTTATAACAACTTACTATGCATAATAATTATTGTATGAGAACTGGGTAATGATTTCATGTGTGTGTTGTATATATATATATATATATATATATATATATATATATATATATATATATATATATATATATATATATATATATATATATATATATATATATATATATATATATATATATATATATATATATAAAACAACAATAATATGAACTGTCTGGCCAAGGAAACTTTTGCTACCAAACACACTTAGTTGTGGCAAACACTAACAGGTAAATTAAACATAATAAGCATCAGTGCTCTTAGTCTTGGTAGAGTAAGGACTTATTACAGTTGATATATTGTGCTTGTGAGGCAAGTATGCTGACCATTACACCATCATGAAACTAGATGGTACACTGGATAGTAACTAGTGGTACACTGGATAGTAACTAGTGGTACACTGGAGAGTAACTAGTGGTACACTATATCAACATGAGAGTTTTAGGATGTGTTTACAGAGAACTACACTGGGTGACCTTAAAATATAACTCCACTAAAATGGGAGAAAAAACTTTATAGCAGTACAGTACAGTATATTTGGACTGACAGACCTGACCCAGTGTGGTGAAGGATGTATCACTTTACCCCTTGTCTGTGGGATCACCTCTAGGCTCAATAAAATACCAAACGTGGCATCCCGGAGTGAAGGGGTTAACGCTGGTAAGAGAATCCGACAAAAGACTTACGTGTTGAAGCCGACGGTGACGTCATAGATTACGGGGAAGTTTCCTTTCAGTGACTGTGCACACTGAATGAAGCCCCGTGTGCGAGGGATCAGGTGTCGCTTCAACTCTGGTAGACCTCTCTTCCTGGCAAACTCCATACTGGCTTCGTGTTTTGCCGGTGTGAACCTCGTGCCCTCGGCAAATAGCAGCATCTGGTTGAAAAGCAATCGTCAAACATTACATACAATAAAAGACAATTAGAAAGAGAATGTTTTATTATGATAAAAGTACCAAAGATTCTTGTAACCTTCAGCATAAACTATTTTATACAGAATCCTGTCAGGTTATTTATCTTATCAAATTCTTATCCATCATCTTGGTCAATAAGTTTTTAACAGGAATATTAAAATTTTTAAGTAATATAGACTAATTTTACCATTATCATTAACCATAATAAAGCGCTTCTTTCCACCAAGTGACGCCTGACCTAATGCGTTATGTTTCACCATAAGTCAGAACGTAGATTTTGTACAAATTTCTACCAAAGGTACATCTTTACATACTGGCTAAGGATCTGATTTCAAAAGTATATGAGCCTCAAATAATTAAATAAATTTAGAACATTTAAAACTTTCATTACATTCTGCCCGTAAATTGTAATAATTCAAAAGAGAAGACCAAGTACTTCTACATGAAGATCCTGTAACAAACAATGTTGAAGTGAAAACTGAAAGGTTCTCTCCCCCCCAATAAAAACAAAACTTGTACTATGTCACTGTAAAACATTTAGTACAGTAGTATACATGTAGGCCAATACATTAAAAACAAACTTCTTACCAGACTAACCCTTATTCTGCCATAATAACTATCTTTGACACCCACTGTTCTCCACTACAGTGTATCCTGCTGGGCCAAGATGATTACCTGGCCGGTGTCTAAACAAACCACTCTCTCTCTCTCTCCCTCCCTTGTCAATACTGTTTCATATGACCGTTGAGTACATTCTGTGTTGGCTAACTGGATACACTCTGTTCTTTTCTTGCTCAATTTTGCAAGTAGCCGTCACAACAAACTCTGGCCAAGTGACTTACTGGGTAAACCTTCACAAGCCTTGACACATAAATCCTACTCAACCTGTCAGCACGTTAAGGCGCACACACACACACTCACCCAAACTGGATAAGGATAGTCAAAGAACTCCTTAATTTGTGTCTGCATGATAGTTTTGTCTTCCTGCCAATTTCGATTAAGGAAGATTATGTCGGAGAGACGCCAGGCCCACCCTATTGTCGGCACGTACTGCATCATCTTCTTCACGAACACTTTTGCAGACTGTGAAAGGACATTAATTTTTATCGACTGTGTATTTTTTAGTTTTAGTTATATTCAACCACAGAAGTTCATGTTTGTTTCTGAAAATTTACTATTAACTAAACGTGGTCAAAGGACTAGTAAATAGCTGATGGCTCTGTTGGCTATCCTTGGTACAACTGTCTTACTGTTTATATACCTGCATTGCCTATACACATGCTGAACTGTATACCTGCATTGTCTATACACATGCTGAACTGTATACCTGCATTGTCTATACACATGCTGAACTGTATACCTGCATTGTCTATACGCATGCTGAATTATATACCTGCATTGTCAATATATATGCTGAATCAATGTAAACTTGTATGATTTTACTCAATAAATATCGATCAATCTCCCCACTGCTCCCCCTCCCCCCTTATAGATGAATCAGGTAATAATAACAAACTCACGATCATTATCTTAGTATAGCCCAAAACATTATGTTGATTGATCTCCACTCTGACACCTGCTGACGAGTTTATGACCTGATGATAGTGATAGTGATGGTGATAGTGGTGGTGATGGTGGTGGTGATAATGGTGGTGGTGGTGGTGGTGGTGGTGGTGGTGGTGGTGGTGGTGGACAGTTTAGGTCACGAGAGAGTGACCGTGGAAGACTTACCCCGAGAGTGTGGCTGCGGTCTGCCACGATCCAGCCCATCAGCCAGTCCACTTCGTAGGTGTGGTTCATGATGATTAGCGCGTGTTCCTTGCCCCACATTTGGTAGGCCTCGTCGGACGTAAACACGCGGATTTCCGACCCCGACCACCACTCGGCCAAAAACAACACCTCTGAGGAGTAAACAAATAATGAGAACTTACACGATGACCCGCAGGAGAAAAAATCTCGACACAAATATTTAACGAACTCATTTTGATTGGCCACAAGTACCAATATATCCACAGCACATTAATATATTTAGAGAAAAAAAAAAGAATATTAATCACAAATAAAACTTAATAAATCAATCCAATCTCTAATTAGCTATAGATGAGAGGGTTGGTTTATCCGAGGTCTCTCCACAATAGAGTCAGAGCTCAAAGGCAGAGAGAACTGGCCTGCCTATATCACATTCACTACAGTATCATGAGATTTTATGACCGGTCTGCCCTGGGAGGTGCTGTAATGATGGTGGTGGTGGTTTTCTTCAAGTTCTATACAGTTCTTATGAGAAATGTGTTGCCTAGACTGGTTTTGCAATCATAAATAACTTAAAAATGGTAAATATCTGTAATGAATAAAAAGATAGACAAATAAATAATAAAAGGGCCATGTAAAGAGATTGTGATAATAATTTGTTTAGTTAAGGGACTGCCACTAGGACAGTATTAGGTAAACATTTACAGTACTGGATATTTTCAAAGTGTGATGAAACTGTCTGGCTTTTTCACAAATTTGGGTCAGAAAAAAGCAAACCTTCACTTCTCTATTGCTTAAGCCCCTCACACCACTACAACAAGCCCTGCTGACTTTGGTCCTTGTAAAGCTTTAAGCTCAATCGGGAGCTTGTTTGTCCTACTGTCACCACACACTATCAAACTCCTTCTAAATATCATCAAATTCCATCACCATGCTCTTCAGTAACTTTGCGCGCTAAAATACCCTCGTCTAGTTTCTGTAATGTTTCAACCTTCTGCGCAATATCAAGAGTAATATACTTCCTCTTCACACTACTGTACTGCCAGCATCACCATCACTTGTTATTTTCCTGGAAGTCGTTGTTTAGGTAGACTTTCTGAATCTAAGAAACATATTGCAGTCACAGTAAACAATATTGTGGAGCAGGCTGCCAGACAATGACTGTGTGGGTGGCAGAGCACACAGAGTCTAGAGAGAGTAAATTCCCAAAATCACTTTCAGATGTTGGTGCACACTTTAAATCTGCACAGATTCTTAAACTTTTGACTATAAGCTTTGACTGTGTTATTCTTAACAAATGCCAAGGATATCATAATAATCTCTAACATCCACGATACAATAAGATACTTTGGAAGGAGACAAAGATGCACAAAGTCACACCACTGGATCATAGAACAAACTGACATCTAATGGGGATATGGAGAGACAGATAAGAGCGAGCCCAAGAAACGCTTCCCACTACAGCCGGACAGATCCTTAGTTGCACCAGACAAACGTGAAAAAATACCGACTAACTGAGGTACAGAACAGTATTTTGAAACGTAACCGAGATACTGCACATATCTATACACTAAGTTGAACTAAAACCTATTAGTATTTGTCGGAGTCACAGTTGTTCTATTATCATGTGTCCGAGTGATAGTCCTACTAGTATGTGTCAGTCATAGATGTACTATCAAGTGTCCAAGTGATAGATCTATTGGTGTTCATCTAAACCGTCTAGTTAATCGAATCAGATGATAGGAGGTTAAACCCTCACACACAAACGCCTGGCCACCTACCAATTCTAAGACCACCCCCCTTCCGCATGAGATGGGAGGGGGGTGAGGGATGATATAATGACAGTTACGATGATAATGTTTGGAGTAGAGCAGTGAGAGAAAGGAGGGTTTTGAAGTATAAAGAAACTTAATGGAGATCTGGGAAGGAAGATGGGGTAACAAAAGACCAGCTATCATTACGAGTATCAACGAAGATTTAAGTACAAATATGAAGGCAGTCTGGAAATAGTAAACAGGCAAACTAGACTGTATATGGTACCTAAGGGTTAAAGTTAAATGCTAACTTAACAACACATCAACCCCCAGGTGCCATAGCATTAGGGTAGTTACCAGGTGACAATCTTCAGGTGATCCCAAAACAATAATAAAGATTCATAAATAACAAACAAACGGACAAATACTTACGTGACATGAGTGAATATATTAGGTAGTAGTTTAGTGTGCAGTAGAGGGATTTGTTGAAGGGCCTCAGCGTGACATAGAGCAGAAACTGAACGGCATTGATTATCACGCCCGATATGAAGAAGGTGACGCACAACAGCAGGTGGAGTGCATACCACCTGCGAATCTCTGTGAAATCCTCCAGTTCCCACATCCTGTCTGTGAAGAAAAAAAAAATATTGACAATCCACAATCACTGTCAGTTCCAAGTAACACAGCAGACAAAGATCATTTCTCCCACTACAGGGAGTTGCGACATACTAACGCCCGACTTACAAACACCTGCAGTACTTAACAACATGATCCCAATACACAATACAGTACAGGTATTTATAAACAAAATCTGTTCCGACGTACGAGCATTTGATGACTCTTACAAACGGGCGTTACTCTGTTTGATGGTTGGCCTCTGCCTGTGCTTGGCAGTTCTGTGTTCCTGCAACAACAACAACAAATACAGTAGCCAGCTGGTCCGCTCCATTTCACTTTACGTTTAACATCACTTTATGTATGCAATATTTAAAGTATTTGTTATGCATGGGATATTAAAGTTGTTCTGTATGGAGAGGATTGTGTTCTCACCTACACTATGGACTTAACACTGTTCAGACTCAACATCAGGAACGTAACCCAGGGACTCCCCGTCTTGGCCTCTATTTACTCGTACAATAAGTTGGACACGTAACAATGACAACATCCTATACATACAAGGACTGATGCTGGGTCGTGACCACTGGGGACAAGAGGACGCCAAACTTTTTAAGCCTTTAGACATCCTTGTATTATTATCATACACTTGTACTTCATGACACTAAGAACTTCATCATAAAAGGCATTATTGACTGTAACCCAATTCTGTCTACCCACCTTATCCCTCCCTCCTGTGTGGGAACTCAAAAGGCTGGGTAACACAACAGAGTATAGTACAGTACCAGGGTGGAGCACCAAGATAAACTTAGAGATCCCTTCCAATAATCCATACTCAAGATATTATAATATTCACCGGTGCTCGAGCTGTCAAATATCACCACTACAACTTGATTAAATAGTTACAAACTCATCCAGGACTTAAGGACAAATATTCTTTCTTTCTCTCTATTCTCATTTTGTTTCTTGATCTGACTACATATGGTCCAGTTAATGCATCTACTACAACTCTTCTAAGTTTCTCAGACAGACAGACACTCACTGCAATATTGTCCTGCTGATTCTGTAGGTAATAAGAGAGGGGGGTAATACAACAAGACCAGAAATACTGTAATAAATTTAAAGTTTTTGACAATATGACAATTAATCCCTGACCTATAATTCTCTAAGTGACTACAGTATGTTATTCTCATGTACAGAATTCATAAATTATCAAGTGGTCTTTTTATCTGATTGTTAAGTTACAAATGTATAGACAGTACGATGTTATTTATCTGATATTATTAACCATATTGCTATTTTCTTGAATATTTTAAGGCTGGCCACCACTTCACCAGGGGCTACTGGATATAGACCTAAAATTGGTTATTCGGGAGCATAGGTTCTACCCTCAGACACATGGGGGTGTCGGCAGTATGTGTGCAGCTACACCGAGGCAACTACTAATCTCATGTCTTCAGGATGAGCCAGATTAATCCTGGCTTTACTACTCATTAATTCTCAGCCACACTCAATAGATGGTCCGACGGGCTACTACACCGACTCAGCTGATGGGTACGTCATCTCTGGCCAGTCAGCACAATTTCAGGTTCTGACTGACTCACGCTAGCATTGGTGTTGGTACTATATTTAGCTAAAGATAACATTACAAGGATTGGTAATTGTTTAGTAATGATCAAAACAACCGACCCATCCAACAGGGGACTCACCAAGGTACAGGTCTGGAGGCGAGAGATAATGTCCTTGTGTTTACCAATACAAAATTATCTTAATATTTCTTTCATGAATCGTTGGAGATCTTACTTGGAGTTTTGTCTCAGATTTCCACAGATTAGGAAGTAGTACTGTCCCTCAAGAGGCTACAGTACCCGGCACTCTTCTTTGTCACCCATGAGAATGTCCCAACTCACTGCAGTACACTACAAGCTTCTGGACCATAAACAAATCTACCTAACTCAACCACAAAACGGACTGTATATAGTATAAGTAATGTACTGTACTTTATTTTACCTAAAGTGTGGATACATCGATGTTTTCCTTATTTAACAAGTAAAACAAAAGCCTTAGTTTGTGTGTGTGTGTGTGTGTAAGCAAAACATTTAATTTTCATAACTATTACTGCACAGTACAGTAATTTACAACATATAAAGTAATAGGCAGATTATTATATTGTACAGGCCATTTAATTCTACCATTTGCCATTGAAGACTGATCACCAGAGGCACGAGGCTAAGGGGATGCCAAAGTGCCATCTGTGGCTCATGATCTTATCAGCTACATAATAGTGCCCCCTTGTGGCCAGGTAATGCAGGAGGAAAGTCGCCAATAACCCATACAGTACAAACATCTACTGTAAGTGTTCATTGCATTTATACATCATTCATTCTCGTGAAAATATGGCTACAGGGTATTTGTGTGTGTCGGCCTGTCAGCTAACTATCCCTTAGTATTAGCACAGACAGTTTCACAGTGACGACAAGTAAGTACAATACAGTAATCCCCTCATATAGTGAAGGTGTGTTGTACAGTATTTTGGCACAACTAGTGACCTACACACCGTGGTCCACGCAGAAAACAGCTCTTCAAAACAATCCAGCTTGAATACAGGTAACCCTCAACTTATGATGGATCAAATTTTCTTTTAAGTATCTGAAGTAAATAGCAAAATGAAGAGTCCCCAAGAGATTATGATGCAATGTTGCAAAATAGAGGAATCACTTAGTTTATGAAGTATGACCTTTCCATGTATTAAGGAATGTCTGCACACCACACACTCTCTGAAGTTAGGGTAAAAGCCTACAATAGCCACTCAATATATCACTTTATCTTAACCCAAAACACTTGAACTTTATCTTGGCTCTCGATCCGTCACCGCTGCCACGCTCACTTTATCTCTTCACCGTGAAAGGTCCAGCGCTCTTAATTAACGTGGATGTTTTACTAATCTCTGGTTGGCTTTCTGTTCTTGGTGTTTAATTTAATGTCAGTTAATATGTATAAGTAACATCGACTCCTTTTACATAATCTCTTGCTGTATCTTTCTCTTCTTTAGGTATATCAAAATGTCAGGTACCACAGGCTCTCATTATCAAACAAATACATGAGAGAGAGTGGTCTTTAGCGCTAAAAAATAAAGATATGATTCTCCTACAGCTATTGCATGACTTACACTGTTAATGTCTCTCCAAAGTCTATCAGTAGAGAACATCTTGATGGGCGCTGCATGAGAAATAACACAACACACCCGTCATTATGAGGCCTAGGAGGGGTAGCCCGGCACATTGTAAACAAACTCCACAGCACGTAGACAGTTGCAACATCCAGGTTTCACAACTCAGTGACCGGTGACTCGAGACCCACGGAGCATGTATGCAATCAATTCTTTTTAGCTAAACTTAAGGAAATCTATCAAAAAGAGGCCATCACATCTTGTTGTGATTCAGTCATATTTGGTGGGAGTTTGTGAGAAATGTAAGACTGATTCTAAATCCCTTTTTTATGACCACCACTGGATCACACGACTCATGTATTATCCTAAAGCGTCTATGAATAAAAACCCAATATTCAGACAATTTCGACTGATAGTAGTCCAATAATTAGTGGACCTCCGTGTTACAGCCATGCCAGAGGTCACCACTTTGATGTACTGGGCATCACTGACTCTTGTATGGAAACTCAGTCATAATAACTACGAGTGCTGTACAAAACCTTACATTCAGCTGACTTCATGATGTGCCCAGAGAGGTAGTGAGGGATTTATTATATAATGACTGTGAAGCTTCAAGACACATTTTCTCTCGACCTCACCGGCAGTCATCACTACTAAGCTCCCCTTTTACATGGTTGAGGTTATCACAAGAGAAACTGTTTATCATAACATTAGCTCCAGTTGCCAAGCACCGTACTGTACTTTACACGAGCCACTCTAGACCAAGTGTCGGTAATCTTGATCCAACACAACAGTCTAAGCATCACCAATCTTTTACACCAATTCTCCACATTATCAATTCTGTTTTTCTATTTTATCTCTCCTCCTCTCAATGACTCGAGACATCTTTTGCCGAGATCTGTCTGGACGCCGCCACCCAACCACACCATCCTCCTGAGCTGCTTCAAGTCACACGGAAGACTAGGAGGATAGTTTTATCCTCAGGTATCAGTTGACTCTTGTACTCTGTGACCTCGGTAACTACCCACGACCTGTTCTCCGGTAGGGTTGTAAATGCCGTACTAAATATAAAACATCAAAGCCAATATAGCAGATACAAAGAATTAAAATTACCTACTGTACTTCCATTGCTTTGTGTTCTATTGGAAAGACATTTGAGGTTCTTTACTCTGCTCAAGTGTAAAACCCAGGGTCTTGGATGGAACACACGTGAGTTTGTTTACCCACTGCCTCATTTCCTGTACACCTGACACCCTGATAAAGCATACCGAGGACCTTGTCAAGACCTGCAGTAGTCACACGTTACATATCAAGATGCCAACATAAATTAACAGCACTGTACTGAATGTGTATGGGTGAACCTTGCTACATTAACTGAATAAACATATCATATACTGTATTAAAAACAGAGCCAGCAGGTACAGTTGTGGGCCATAAAGGATTCAGCAGAGATGGTAGGTCGTGTAGGGGTAGGTGGTGAAGGGGTAGGTGGTGTAGGGGTAGGTGGTGAAGGGGTAGGTGGTGAAGGGGTAGGTGGTGTAGGGGAGGGTAGGGGTTAAAAGTCATCAATTTTCTTTACACACCACAAATTTTATGTCTTTAGTGTACAGTAATTATGAGGCAGACACAGCTCACACTAACACTGTAAATAACTCAATACATTACAACAAGATGCCATAAATGGTAAATGATTGAGGAGACTTTTCATTGCCTATCCTGATGCAATGTTGCCATGTCTCAACCTACCCTCACTGTGGAATTTGTTTAAGATCAATACTGTACTATAAAACACAATAATCAAAAGTGCACCAAAATCATAAGACAAACAAACCACCAATCTTCCCAGGTGTGAGTACTATAGTTAAGGTGTATTACTGTACTGTTCACGCTTTCATCAGTAAGCTTTCAAACTTGCTTGAAATTCGCCCAAAATCTAATGCCTTTAATTTCTTCAGTAGAGGAGAGAATAAACTCATCACCTACAGATCATTAACAACAAAGGTCATATTAACACGCATTTTGATCTCCTGCCATAACCCTACATATGACCAGACATCTTTACATAACTTTTAGAGTCCCACCACACATGTCAGGTACTGTTGATAAAATGTGATACTGGGCTGGATTGAAAACCTTTACATACCTCTCACGGCCAAACAATTCAGCCAGACGGAGCACTTGATAACTGCCCAGTATTGCCAGGACAATCTCTTCCTCCTCACCTTATCCACAGCCCCTCAAGGATCATACCACAAACTAAGAGGAACTAGTTAACATTTTTGTGTCTGTAGCAATGAAGAAATAAGAGTATGTTTCTACTGTATATCAATATTCCTCAAGTATTTGGCACAGTACAGTCTGGCTAACATACAAAATCCTATCTACTGCACCTTAGTTAATCACAAAAGGGAAATCCTACTTCCTTTCTGCTTTTACCCTTTTAATTCCACACTTTTCCTCCTACTGAGTTCAAATTTCTTTTAAAGGAAAACTGTATATACTTCAGCTCACACAATATTAATCACAAGACCCCTAAACCCAAAGTTAATTTAAAGCATCAATAAATTACCCTCGACAAAACAATTTTTTTCTTATTCCTGCCAGAGTTTCCACTTGGTAGCCAGAATGGACAGCAACGACAGAAGTCCACTTTAGTCGTTCTCGCCCACTGCCACTAGACGTGCCCTACACCACAGCCTCCTAACATGCTACAGGCTCTGGTGCTCCATTACCCTGGTCTTAGCCCCTCCAATCACAGAGCTTTTGACAGTCAGGTTACTTTTTAGCAACTTTAACCCTTATTTTTGACACTTTTTGGCCCAATTTATTTAAAAATATCATCACCATAGTGAATTTAAGCATTTTTTTTACCCACTGACCTGCCATCTTACCAAAAAATTCCGACCGTCAACTAGTCCATTACTGATGACACAAACAAATAGACTAAGCTATCACCCACAAACTGTTCTTAAAGACAACTGATTGTCCCAAATGTACGAGAGAATACAGTAGTTTCTTAACACCACAACACAATATAGGCTCACTCGGTGATTCATCCCCCATGGACTTTCCGAGACGACCAAGACACCAACGGCAACACAGGTAACGGCCAGCTTGTAACTGTGGCGCGAGACAACATTCTTATTACCACATTTAAACAAATCTTTCCATATAATTTTTATCCGAGTCTTATTCACACGAACTTGTGAATCATAAGGTAAAATTATCGTTTCAGTCATGCACCTGTCAGAGGTTAGAATCATTCATAAAACATTAAACCATCAGAAAAACAATTTTAACCGAACCTAAACCTAAATTTGCTGCATAACTGAAATAATAATAATACCAATAATATCAATTACTTAATAATAATAATATACAACCTATCATTACCCCCTATGGCTTAACGACCCCCAGGCCAGGTAATATATGGTAGTTACTCATAAGTTACTAACTAGACCACAACCTTATAAGAACACTGGACCAAACTATCATCATAAGAGTAATAACAAGTGTAGACCATTAATGACTCCAGCAACCTTTAATAACTCCAACAACCTTTAATAACTCCAACAACCTTTAATGACTCCAACAACCTTAATCACTCTCCTAACCACCTCACCACACCTCCCTAACTACACCAACACACAATACATCACCCATAAATCATTAACACTAAATATCGACATAATATTTAACTTTTTTAATGAAATATTTTAACCAGTTTAAAACACATATACCGGAATCCATTTCTCTCCACCTGGTACTAACTAAAACACCATATCCCACATAATCATTATAAATAGGAGAAATAAATGTAAATGAAGATATATCAATGAATATAGTAGGTATTTATAGTATATTTACCTCGGTAGCTCTCATAGGCTTGTGTGGTCCCTAGGAGGAGTATCAGCTGATGGTGCACGCGACCCGCACTGCGCACACACGCACTCATCACTCACTATAAACGGAGCAAATACTTATATTATTCCTCTATAAACCAACAATATCTTCACTTAAACATTATATATAAAAAATTAATAATATATTTGATTAATTATATATAAAATAAACTTTATTTTATGTGTTAGTATAGTTTTATTCCTATATTTTTTCCTTTTAGTAATTCTCATTGATTAAAAGTACTGTATATGTACGTTTGTGTGTGTAGTCAATAGGAGACAGTACCATTTGAATACGGATATGACATCAAAGTCCACCTGTATTATATAGATAGATAAATATTAAATAAAATCATCATTCAAGTTGATGTTGATTGAATATGTATGCAGGTATATGGTACACAGATAGTGGAAGTATACAATGGGAAGTATATGGTGACATCTACTAGAGTAATTAATTAACACCAAATAATCTTAATAATCCTGTAACTTTTTTTTTAGAAACTGGGACAATTTCCTATTCCAATTAGTTAATGATCCGACTCACTATTGAAACACATCATAAACCAGGAGGTTATGGTGTCCAAGTTGGGACCTTTAAATGAACTCACACTCGGTACCATCACAATATTCTCTGGCAGGTTACTTCAAGAGTTCACAACTGTAATTCTAAAAATAAAAAATAAAAATACCTCTGAGTGTACCCCACGAAAGGCTGAAAATCAAACTGGAAGGGTACAGAATTCGGGGAAATGTCCTAGAATGGATAGAAGACTTTTTACATGACCGCAAGCAGTGTGTGGTGATTAATGGCACGAAATCGTCATCCGTACCTGTCACAAGTGGGGTACCACAGGGCAGTGTATTGGGCCCGCTGTTGTTTGTTTATTTCATAAATGACATGCCTGACGTTGTACACTACCCCATACAAATGTTTGCCGATGACGCCAAGTTATTTCTGGAAATCAAGAACCAAGCGGACTGTGAAGAGCTGCAGAAGGACCTCTGTGGGCTCCAAGAATGGTCGAAGAAATGGCTGCTGAGATTCAATGTCACGAAGTGTAAGAGGATGCACCTGGGGCGTACCAACGGTAAGGAGGCGTATCATATGTCCCAACGGGATGAACAAACTGCACTAGTTGAGACTGAATGTGAGAAGGACCTAGGTGTGTATGTTGACAATGAGCTGAAGTTCTCGGGCCATTGCGAGAAGAAGGTAAATCAGGCAGTAAATTATTAGGTCTTATAAGAAAATCGTTCAGATATCTAGACGTAATGATCTTCAAGGGTGAAATGCTTCCCCATCTGGAGTATTGTCATCCCGTCTGGTCCCCGAGGTATGCTAGGGACGATCAGTTGAATGAAAATGTTCAAAGGGGGGCCACCAGACTGGTGCCAGCACTTCGGCACCTCAACTGCCCTGAGAGAATGGAGCGCCTGAACTTGCCTAACTTATACTACAGACGGGCAAGGGGCGACCTAATTGAAGTATATAGGGGCACTACTCAGTCGAATATCCTTACCTGGAGCTGGCGGACGCTCGCCCCACAAGGGGTCACAGCTCAAGGTTGAAGAAGCCGCAAGTCCAGAAAACTGTGAGGGGTAACTTTTTCGGAGTGAGGGTTGTGAACTCTTGGAACAATCTGCCAGAGAGTGTTGTGACGGCACCGAGTGTGAGCTCTTTCAAGACAAGACTTGACCAACACTGGAGCAGGTTTAGGTACATTCAGGAGCCGGTGCATGCCCAGTACTTGCCAACAGTGCGTGACAGAGACGTGACCGATCGCCCAAGCGGCTGACGAGCCGGTCAGTGGTGAAGAGGATAAAAGTAAGTATAAGTGTACTCTGGCCACGCTGCTACCTGCACTCAAGTGTTGGCCAGATGTAGCACTTTAACTGTTTTTCTCAATTTATAAATAATGTCCACTTTGAGCCGAACCCTAAGACGAATAAAATCTGTTTTCTTCGAGTGTTCGTTTTAATTTATTTTACATCTGCCATCACCTGTTACGTCACAGATAACCAAAATTGTCTTTGTTTAATTCCCCTGTTGCTTACCTTAATGTTTAGCCTAAAACTTATTTCTTATCTGGATACAACAATTATATTTTACTTCTTCCACAAAAGTTTATCCACACAGTACATCTACCTGTGAAAAGCGGCTCCACAGGCTGATAAGTGGATACAATACACAGGAGAAGGTATTTTTCGATTAACAAGTGGCACTGTAGCCGGCACTGCCCTCGACTGCTTTCACCTTCCCAACAGTAAAGTTTTTATCCCCTCTAGCTTAAACAATAATAATACAGTCAATCGATTCAACCAAGGAGAAGTCTAGTCCTAACCAACACTGGCACATGTTCAGGTAACTATTCAAGTGCCCGTACATGCCCAGTATTGACCAACAGTACGTAACAGAGAACAGACCGATCGCCCGACCAGCCAGTGAGTTGACAAGAGGATAAGTAAGCAATGTAAGTAATATTAGCTCAAGAGGTGTGTGGGAGGGGGGTATGTAGTGTGGAAGGGGTGTGTGTGTGGGAGGGGTGGGGGTGTGTGGGGGGGGGTGGGGCAGTGTGTGTGTGGGAGGATGTGGTGGGCATGGTGTGTGGGGAGGGGGTGGGTATGTAGTGTGTGTGTGGGAGGGGTGGGGTAGTGTGTGTGGGAGGGGGTGGGGGTAGTGTGTGTGTGTGTGGGAGGGTGGGGCATGTAGTGTGTGTGTGGGAGGGGGGTGGGGGCATGTAGTGTGTGTGGGAGGGGGGTGGGCATGTAGGCGGTGGGCATGCTGAAGAGTATGGTACTGTGTGAGGTCCGGTCCTGCCTGCGAGAGATTTCATTTTTCTAATAGTCTAACCTCTATCAGTAGCTGTACTCTGAGAAACACACCCAAATAAAGCTGTAAATTACACAACCAAGAGAGAGAGGAGAGATGCACAGTGTCGGGCCCGTAAACCAAAAAAAGGGGCCATTGAAACTCGACACAGTGCCAAGTAAGATGCCACACACACACACACACTCGAATCTGTATCTAATCTCTACAAAATGTTTGCAGGTCTTAGATACTCTAATATTAAGTCGAGCTTTACTGGACTTATGAGTGCACTTAATACACAATAAATAAATAATAATATCGGGAAACAGTTGAGACAGATGTTCAAGTGTGATCTGGCAACACTGTTCATAACTTCAATTCGGGCACCAAGTGTGTTGGCTCAGTATCCGTTCTGATCTATATTAATATAAGTTTTTCTTAATTAATGTGGATTTGATTTCCAAAAATTTATTTTCGCAATATTGTGATTCTTTCCAACTAGATGAGTTGTTGTATTACATTTTTTTTAATATACACTACTTATAATTCAGCGGATATATGCATTTTATAATATAATTTAATAAGTATCTGAATAAATTATTTTATACTACATTTATCATAACACTGAAATCCAAATAGTTCGCCATATAAGCACATTATGTGTTATATCTAGAATTTCTGTTTTTAATAATTTTTCTTGGACATTTTGATGTTATTCATATGGAATTCCACATATTCCTGCAGCTTTGTTTTAATAATTTGTTATCACGTTACACATTTCTTTGTGGGACAGATATATTAAGCTGAGGCAACTTTCTCATATTTGGTTTTACCGGTAAAGAAGTCTGAAGATATTTGAAGGATGGTAATTTGAACTGATACTTTTTTTTCACTTTTTATCCTCTTCGCCACTGATCGGCTCGTTAGCCGCTTGGGCGATCGGTCACGTCTCTGTTACGCACTGTTGGCAAGTACTGGGCATGCACTGGCCCCTTAATGTACCTGAACCCGCTCCAGTGTTGGTCAAGTCTTGTCTTGAAAGAGCTCACACTCGGTGCCGTCACAACACTTTCTGGTAGATTGTTCCAAGAGTTCACAACTCTCACTTCGAAAAAGTTTGCCCTCACAGTTTTCTGGACTTGCGGCTTCTTCAATCTTGAGCTGTGACCCCTTGTGGGGCGAGCGTCCGCCAGCTCCAAGTAAGGACACTCGACTGAGTAGTGCCCCCTGAGATTCTTATACACCTCTATTAGGTCACTCCTTGCCCGTCTGTAGTATAAGCTAGGCAAGTTCAGGCGCTCCAATCTCTCAGGGTAGCTGAGGTGCCGAAGTGCAGGCACCAGTCTGGTGGCCCTCCTTTGAACATTTTCAACCAACTGACAGTCCCTAGCATATCTCGGGGACCAGACGGGGTGACAGTACTCCAGATGGGGAAGCGCTTCACTCTTGAAGATCGTTACGAGGGACGGACCGTCTAGTTATCTGAACGACCTCCTTATAAGACCCAATAATTTATTTGCCTAATTTACCTTCTTCTCGCAATGGCCCGAGAACTTCAGCTCATTGTCAACATACACATCTAGGTCCTCCTCACATTCAGTCTCAAATAGTGCATTTTCTTCATCCCGTTGGGACATATAATACGCCTCCTTACCGTTGGTACGCACCCAGGTGCATCCTCTTACACTTCGTGGCATTGAATCTCAGCAGCCATTTCTTCGACCATTCCTGGAGCCCACAGAGGTCCTTCTGCAGCTCTTCACAGGCCGCTTGGTTCTTGATTTCCAGAAATAACTTGGCGTCATCGGCAAACATTTGCATGGAGGAGTGTATAACGTCAGGCATGTCATTTATGAAATAAACAAACAACAGCGGGCCCGATACACTGCCCTGTGGTACCCCACTTGTGACAGGTACGGATGATGATTTCGTGCCATTAATCACCACACACTGCTTGCGGTCATGTAGAAAGTCTTCTATCCACACTAGGACATTTCCCCGAATTCTGTACCCTTCCAGTTTGATTTTCAGTCTTTCGTGGGGTACACTGTCGAAAGCCTTGGCAAAATCTAGGTAAATATTGTCAATATTACCAGCCCGTTCCAGAATATGGGTCCAAATATCCAATACCTTGAGCAATTGTGTTAAGCAGGAGCGCCCCGGCATAA